AGACGTTTTGTTCGATCACATGATTTTTTGATGAAATAAATGAGGTCTGTGTTTTGTTGCCAGGCCTGTCGGGGCTGTTTGATGCCAGCCTCCACCATGCCAGCCCCTCGGGGCCTGACCCCTCCGTCATGAATCTGATTTCAGCCCTAGAGTCCCGAGGTCCACAGCCCCCCCCCTCCGCCTCCTCCCTCCTCTCTCAGTTTCGCACTCCCTCATGGCAGACTGGTGAGTATCCGCCTGTAAGGGCAGCGATACACACAACAAGACCTACTGGGATAAAAGATCGATGAAAGATAATACTTTGCATTTACCATCCAGAAAGTCTCAAACTGTACTCATGTTGATTTGTGACTTTCATTGACCAACACTCTCCCTCTGATGTTGTGTCCTGTAGCGATGCATACACCGGGCCCGGCGGAGCTCTTTATATCAGGAGCCCTCCCGGGGTCCAGCTCCTTCCCCTCCTCCTCAGCCCTTTCTGCATACCAGCATCCTGGCTCCTTCTCTGGGCGATCCTTCACTCCCTCACTATCCCTACAGGACACACCCACATTTAGCCCCACCTCCAATGGTTTACTCTCCCCCCATGATCCCCTGCTGCATATCAAAACCCCCTCCCAGTCCAGCTTGGGCTTTGACCGCTTGCTGTCCTCCCAGAGTGCCGCATACCGAGGCTCCCAGGAGCCCACGGCACCGACCCAAGCCCCTTCCACCTCTTCCAATTGCCACCTGCCTCCTCCCCAGTTCAATCTGCTGTCCTCCCAGCTTCATAACCAGTCTCAGCTTTATAACGCTTCAATGTTCTCGTCTACTCCAGCCCTGACTCCCTCGGCCCCCCCTTCAAGCCAGCCTCCAGAGAGGGCGGTTTCCCGTCAGGACAGTGTGATAAAGCATTACCAACGAACATCCCCGGCGCATTCTGCAACACTTCCCCTCCAGCAGTATGTCAGCTGTGGTGGCTCATCAGGCTATCAGCAGATAGCCAGCCACCACCGGCATCCCGGATTGTCCTGCAGTCCCCTTGGTGAGCAGAGCCCATCCTCTGACCCTAAGCCCTCCGCGCGGATGGAGCCCAAGGCGTATCGACCGATCATCCAAACCCCCTACACATCCTCCCCCTCCAGCTCCACTGCCTCTTCCTCTTCTGGTACTAAAGCATCCAAGTGTTCAGGCTCCAGCAGTGGCTACTCCTCTGCTGGATCAGTGTCATCCCGTACTCCACACACTCCACCATCAGCCTCCTCAGCCTCCTCTTTATCATCTTCTAGCTCCAAGACAAGCGCTGGCTCCTTGTCTGCCTCCTCCCGCCAGCAGCCCCCTCCTCAGTCTGCACCAGTACATGCACCTCTACAAGTGGTGTCATCAAACCTTGCTCCACAGCCAGCACAAGAACAATGCCTCTCTTCTTATGGATCTCCATCTGTGGCCAAATCAAACCTACCAGACCAGACCCCTCCCCAGCAACATGCCCAGTCCTGCTCACCAAACCAGCCTCCGCCTACACACATGGCCCAGTCGTATGGGGGCTTCAACTCACCTCACGCTCAGGACCTGAGCAGTGGATCAGGGGGCACTGGAGGAAAGAATTTCACTGGTATTGGGTCTGGGGGGCGCTCATTTTCTGCAGAGGTAGTATTTGGGGAATCAAGCTTCAGCTCAAGAAGAGCAGGCAGTCCTTCCTTAGGATATGGAAATGCAGGAGGGTCAACAGGAAGCGGGCCCATATCCGGACTTGGAGGTGGAGTTGGATCAGCAGGATTAGGGAGTGGGCCTGCAAGTGGTAGCACTGGAGGCAGCAGCTCTTACCACCTTTCTGAGTCAAGTCCATCACCCTCCCTTGGGTCTAAGATTAGTCGCCCCGGACTGCACTCTCCTGCTTCTGCTCGGCCTACACAGTCTCCTGGAGGTTCAGGGGCCAACAACAAATACTTGTCCTCTATTCTCTCTCCTGCTTTTTTGCCTTCACCACAAGGATTCCCTGATACTAGGCCAACACAGAGCCAGTCCTACCACTCAACACCACCAAAGTCAAAAACAGAGTCGACCATGCTGGGAGTTGAGAGATCCCAGGATGCAGAAGAAGATGAGGAGGATTTCCTCATCCAGCACTTACTACATGCCCAAAGCTCAGCTCCCCATCCATCCCAGCATCACCAACCTCCTCAGCAACTATCCCAACCGCATCCACAGGCGAGGGATGGGGAAAACAAGGGGTTAACCTTTGACATCAACAAGATTTCGGAAGAACGCTACCACCTTCAGAGTGTTATTCGCACCAATAATGGCAGTTCAGGTTCTGGGACTGAAATTAGTGACTCAGCAAGTGGCTTAAACAGTCATTTGGAAATGTCATCAAAGAAACAGTCTCAGAAGTCAGAGTTAAATATATCAAAGTCCACTGCAGTAGGGCTTGGAGGGGTCACTGACTCTTTTTCTCACTCCCATCAACAACAACATGACTCCTTGAGCTCTGGGCTCCACTATGAAAGAGGAGACCCCTACACACAACACCCACACTCCCATCACACCTCACATCTGTCCTCACAGTCTCAGCAACATTCTCAGCACTCCCAAATCTCCCAGCACTCTCAGCACAGTCATCCCCTGTCCCACTCACATAGCCTCCCTCACATGGACCTGAAGAAGCCTTCAGATTCAAACACTTACTTATGTAACACAACAGACGTGCAGCAGGCTCCCCAAAGCAGGATCCCAATCTCCATGATGGATTCACCACCAGACCCTACCCAGCAGGCTCACATGCTACAGTCTGTCCTTTCCCATACCACCCGCACCAAGATGGACCCCCAGCTACCCCCTCCACAACAACAGCAGCTTCCTTTGAGCCAGCAGGCCATGATAGGTTCAGCTGGAGGAGCAGGGCCTGCTGGGGGGGAATCCAACCCACAGAGCCAGTCCTCACAGCTGCAACTCCAGCTTCAGAACCAGGGCTTAGATACCCACTACAGCCTTGGAACCCAGCAAAGAGACCAAACCTGTTCCAGTCAGAGCTCAGTGTCTCCACTAGACTTGTTGGAGCAATCTCTTTCCCGGGCAAACAGCAGAGACAGTGGAGGAGCTGTGGACAGAAGTGGAGTTGGGGTGACTGTGACAGGAGGGGAAGTGGGTGGAGGAGACAGACAAAGGCCGCAGCACAGGCTTACCCCTCACCACCATCCCCAACAAACAGCCTCTGGGCTCCATGACTTTCTCTCTGAACCAGATTTGGGATTGTCCACTCCCTCACACCTGCACCACCTTAACCAGTCCCAGACACATGCCCACGTCCATGCCCACCACCAGCAGCAGGCTCATCCTCACCATCAGCTGTCACACTCTCAGTTAGCCCATCCACACTCCCACCGGATGGCAGCAAATATGGGGAATCCCCAACAACAGCAACAGCCTCAACAAAGAGATCCTGAAACCCAGCTGTCCCACTCCCAGCTAGACCAGCTGAAGCAGCACCAGTTTGACACTGTGAGCCCAGTCGGTAAAGTAGGACAGAATCAAGCTCAGCAGCAGCGGTTTGCTCCCCTATCATCCATCTGCTTTCCTGACTCTCTGCTACAAGATGAAGACCGCTCTTTCTTCCCTGAGATGGAGGACATGTTTTGTTCAGCTGATTACAAGTCAAGCTGTGCTGGGGACTCAGGGGCAGGACAGGCTGCTCAAGAGAGCCTTACCCAGGGTCATAGGCCCGGGCAGGACAGTATGGAAGTCTTAAAAAGAGGAGGTTCTGTAGAGGGCTATGATATAGTTGGTCATCATAGTGATCAGGGCTATGAACAGTACTGCCACAGCCTCCCAGGAACAGGAAACAGTAATCTGCATTTAGACCTTGACTCTATGAAGTCTCATGAACTCCCGTCCACTGTGAATACAGACCAGCTCGGCCTAATACAGTCCCAAACCCCCAGTATGGGTTTGACCTCAGCAGTTCAAGGGGATGGCTCAGTCAAGATGATGGGAGGTGTGGGTGTGGGTGGAAGTTCAGGCACGCCAGGTCTGACCTCACCCATATTTTGTTCCTCTCGACCCAAAAAGCTTCTGAAGACCAGCTCTTTCCACCTGCTCAAACAGCGGCGGGAGCCACAACCCCAAACCAAGAAAAACTACGCGCAGGAGTACGAGTTTGAGGATGATGAGGATAAAGCTGATGTTCCAGCAGATATTCGCCTCAACAGTCGACGCCTTCCTGACCTGCTCCCAGACTTGGTGTCTAGTTGTAGGAAGGCTGGTGGGGCGATTGGAGTAAGTGGGCTCAGTCCATTGATGGGAGACATGGACTTCTGCCACCCCTCTGGGTACTCTGCCCTTGGACACCCTGCCCAACACCCTCCCATCGATGGTCCTAAGAAAAGAGGCAGGAAACCAACAAAACCAAAACGTGAAGGCCCGCCTCGACCACGAGGTAGACCCCGAATACGTCCACTTCCAGAGCCACCTTATTGCAGGGGACTGACAGGATCAGTGCCTGGAGAAAGTAAGAGGGGTCGTGGGAGGGGTCGAGGGAGGGGCAGAAGGGACGAAGGGCTTGTGGACATGCATCAAGATCTGAATAAAGCACAAAGCCTACCGTACAATCATCAGCAGCAACAGTTCAGCCAACAGCAGCAACATCTCCAACAGCAACCACAGCTACAACACAGCCTGCAGGCAGAGCACCACCCAACACTGCAGCACCACCTGCACCATCAGCAGCAGCATGTTTCCTGTTCTCAGCTCCAACCGCTCCATCATCAACAAGAACAGCAACCACAGCAGGATCCAATAAGACCTATCAAGGTAAGGTGGACTAAAGTATCACTTATCAACAGTCATAGAAAGTTTGCACTGGGTTATAATGAGGGCTAGGCAATAAATCATCTGACCCTTAAGGCCTATGTATAATGGACATGATCTCATGCAATCAGATGAAGCTCCAGCCGTGTCAGATACCCTAAAATTATTGTTGCTTATTAATGTGAGAGAATTCATTTTGGGATTATTTTATGCAGTCATTACAGACATGTTGCACACATAGGTATCATGTGAAAAACACTGTGTTACAGCTAATATGAATATAATTCATATATGAACAACAACTTTTTGTGTCTCACAACTTATAGCAGTGATAATGAACAATATAACTGCACATCACATGTTTTTCTCATATTGTGCACGCCTTATAGTAACGACCTTCAAATGGAACAATCAAACCAATGTTACCGTCGTAGTTATGTTTCCAAATAGGAAATTCTTTATGAGTTTTCTTACTTCGATCGTATCCAAAACTGAAAGCAAGCCTTGTGATACTCGGATCTCCCAATAAATCTAAATCACGTACTGAAATAAAAACCATAAGTGGGTGTGTGACAGGTGAGTGAACAATTTAAAAACCTGTGAAAAATAACAATCAATGTTAATCTGAATGACCTCCAGCAGTTAAAGTGGAGCTTACCTGGTACAGTCTTTACAATATCCTCTACAGTCAGGTGCTGTATCTTGTCTTATATCTAATGTTGCATGCATTAACGTAGAGCTCAATGTGTGTGTGTGTGTGTGTGTCCTGCTGCTAACGCTGAGCCGTCTGCCCACGCTGCATCTCCGTGTCTGTGGCCACAGTGTGAGATACATTTCTCTTTGCCTGTTCTTTTATTGTCACAAATGAGATCAGCCTGGGAGGAAAAGTGAACTGAATATATTCCTACTGATTATTGTGGCCTGCTGTAATACATGTGTGTGAAAGTAAGCCCTGAGCGTGACAGAGTTAATACGCTCAGCTTCTGGAACAGAACAAACATCTTCATCAATCCATCTTTTCCACCCTCAGATCAAACTGCCCGTCCCCTCCATGCTGCCGTCAGAGTCTCTGCTGAGGACAGACTCTTTGTCCAGCACGGATCCCGTTCTGTCTGATGGATCAGTGGGATCAGCACCGACTCTGGGCCTGAGTCCTGGACCCAGCAACGCCATTGACGTCAGCAGAACGGACCTGAACCCGACTCAAGACAAGATGATGAGGCATCAGCAGAAAGCTGCAGAGGTTAGGAGGATGTTGTCTTTCATGTTGCTGCTCTGACAAACGCTGTGATGGAGGTTTGTCTCTGACAGTCACTGAACCCGTCAGTGTGTGTGTGTGCGTGTGTGTGTGTGTGTGCGTGTGTGTGTGTGTGTGTGTGTGTGTGAACCCGTCAGTGACTGTCAAAGACAAAACTCGGGTAGCTTCTCTGAACATTTACAGATTGGAGCCTTCAGACTTGAATGGACTGGCATTGTGGGATGTGTGACCAAAGCTGAGAGTTTTCTCATCTCCACAGTCACATAATACAGCTTGAGGGGGGAGGGGGGGGTTATTAAGTTATTCCAAAAGATTCAAAAACCTGCCAGCTGATACAAAAGCTTAAAGAAGAACATACCCTTTAATGAAAGTAAGCGTATCAGACAGTTATTTTTATACATTTATTAATCAGCTGAGAAGAAGCTGCTTCGATTTAGTTCTTTGGCTTCATCTTCAACACAACAAGATTTATTATCATGAGAGAGTTAAACATGTTAGTGTGTCATGTCACTGTGTGTTGATGTGTGACTGTGTTGATGTGTGACTGTGTTGATGTGTGACTGTGTGTTGATGTGTGACTGTGTGTTGATGTCAGACTGTGTGTTGATGTCAGACTGTGTGTTGATGTGTGACTGTGTTGATGTGACTGTGTTGATGTGTGACTGTGTGTTGATGTGTGACTGTGTTGATGTGTGACTGTGTTGATGTGTGACTGTGTGTTGATGTGTGACTGTGTTGATGTGTGACTGTGTTGATGTGTGACTGTGTGTTGATGTGTGACTGTGTTGATGTCAGACTGTGTTGATGTGTGACTGTGTGTTGATGTCAGACTGTGTGTTGATGTGTGACTGTGTGTTGATGTCAGACTGTGTGTTGATGTGTGACTGTGTGTTGATGTCAGACTGTGTGTTGATGTGTGACTGTGTGTTGATGTCAGACTGTGTGTTGATGTGTGACTGTGTGTTGATGTGTGACTGTGTGTTGATGTCAGACTGTGTGTTGATGTCAGACTGTGTGTTGATGTCAGACTGTGTGTTGATGTGTGACTGTGTGTGTTGATGTGTGACTGTGTGTTGATGTGTGACTGTGTGTGTTGATGTCTGACTGTGTGTTGATGTGTGACTGTGTGGGAGATGATCAGACGTGGTGACACGGTCTCTGGTGGTCTCTGGTGGTCCCCTCTGAGTCCAGGTTCTGTCCTCCTGCTTATCGTCTCCTTCATTAGCAGGGACTGATGTTAAAGTGCTGACTCAGCTGGGAGGATGTTGGCTGGTGTTCCCATCTGTGCGACTCAGCCTTTTGCAGAACTCAGTCCTGTGATTTAGAACAATGCAGCAACGCAATGACCCTTAATATAGAGCAGCTAAACAAGCGAGGAGTTATGGGTCGAGTCCGTCATGATGACTGATTTGAAGTGTGCTGAGGTCTGTGTGTGCAGCTGAATATCAAATATAATAATTATATCCACATTGATGTGACTGCTTCTTGTTCTTCTCAGTCACTACCTAATCTCAATTTGCTCCTGGGAACATTATGAAGAAACAAACCTGATATCTGTCCGTCTCGCACGTTGCGACTTAGCTGATCACATCTCACTTTGTCGTTTTCACACAGATGACGTGGAAGAAAGAATTGGACGAGCCTCTGAATCCTGATGCCTGGGCTGCTGTGCAGAAACTCTCTAGTTCAGTAAGTTGCTACAAAAATGAGCAAAGCCAGAAGCTTCATATATAATTCATCCCTCATCCATTCAAACTGCAGCCTGTGGTGGAGCGAGCATCACATCCTCCACCCTCGTCCCTCCTGTCGGTGTACCGGTGTGTGTGAAGGTGTGTTACCTGCTGTTTGTTCACAGTAAACGATGGATGATAAAGATCCATTTATCTGTCGTCACACACAAACATCAAACCCTCTCGTCTCTCTGTGCTTTGGAGAAAGGAGGTTATAGTTGACTGACAGCCAGCTCGTTCTGACTGACAAAAGAGAGAGGAGAGAGATGGCTGTTACCAGGGCAGCTGTTGCCACGGTTACCACATTTTTCAGAGCAGGACGCGTGCTGCCACCTGCTGTCTGTTCAGGTGTATCACCTCTCGGCATGCAGGGTTTTCACCCAGCTGCTGAGGAGAAATGATGAAGTTGAATTAAAGATTCAGAAAGCTGAATCACCACGTCCTTGTTAAGGCTGCTAACAAAACCAATACTTCTGAGTTTTAGTTCAGATCTTATTCAAACATCTTCAGGTCAAAGCGACCATCAGAGGTCGCCACTCATCATTAGTACAAACACAAATGTTTTGGTTGATTGTGCTCTCTTGCAGGCTGATGACAAGTTTGACTTCAAACCCGGCTTCATGGCGTCTTTTCTGGACTTCCTGAAGACTGGAAAGAAACAGTCCGGTCTGGAGCTAGGACCTGATGGCGGTCCTGAGGAGGAGGCCCTCAACCCCTGCTCCTCCCTGAAGAGCTCCTCCCTCAGGCCTTTATCCCCGCCTCCTCCTCCCCTGCCACCGACTCCTCCTCCGCAGCCTCAAGGGCCCTTCAGCGAGGGGGAGCATGGCGAAGGGGCGGAGCTGAACCTCAGCAGCTGTCCAAGTCCCTGCAAACCTCTGGACGAGGAGCTGGAGCTGAAGAGGAACCTAGAGACCCTGCCCTCCTTCTCCTCTGATGAGGAGGACTCAGTCAGTAAGAACCAGGACCTGCAAAAGAGCATCTCCTCCGCCATCTCTGCCCTCTACGACACACCGCACTCACTCGCTGCTGCTATGGCGTCTGCCATGGCCAAAGCTCCACCCACTCCGTCCCCGCCTACGCCACAGGAGCCATCGCTCAGCCCCCCCCTCCCTGCTCTGCCTCCCCTCATCCCCAGCATGGGGAAGGAGGTGAAAGAGGAGGTGCTCACATACGCTCAGTATCACTCCCAGGACAAGGAGGAGCAGGAAGAGATGGAGAGAGAGAGGGAGGAGGAGAGGGAGGAGGAGCAAGGAGGCAAAGAGGTGGAGGAGGTGGAGGAGGTGGAGGAGGAAATGGAGGCAAAGGGAGGAGGAGAGGCAGTCGATGATGAAGAAACAATGAGAGCTCAACAGAATCTGCAGCAGGGATCCCTGGAACAGCTGGAGGATGAGGACGAAGAGGAGCAGGAGCAGGACGAGGAGGAGTTATCTGAACAACAGATCCTGGAGGCTCCAAAGGTTCAAGGTACTGCTGGTGTTTATTTATCAGTCTGTCACTGGAATATATGAGATAAATGTATGATCCTTGTGTTTTAGAGATCTTTGTGTTTTAGAGATCTTTGTAGAGATCTTTGGAAAGATCTTTGTGTTTTAGAGATCTTTGGAAAGATCTTTGTGTTTTAGAGATCTTTGTGTTTTAGAGATCTTTGTAGAGATCTTTGTGTTTTAGAGATCTTTGTGTTTTAGAGATCTTTGTAGATATCTTTGCGTTTTAGAGATCTTTGTAGAGATATTTGTAGAGATCTTTGTGTTTTAGAGATGTTTGTAAAGATCTTTGGGTTTTAGAGATCTTTGTAGAGACCTTTGTAAAGATCTTTGTGTTGTAGAGATCTTTGTAGAGATCTTTGTGTTTTAGAGATCTTTGTAAAGATCTTTGGGTTTTAGAGATCTTTGTAGAGACCTTTGTAAAGATCTTTGTGTTGTAGAGATCTTTGTAGAGACCTTTGTAAAGATCTTTGTGTTTTAGAGATCTTTGTAAAGATCTTTGTGTTTTAGAGATCTTTGTAAAGATCTTTGTAAAGATCCTTGTGTTTTAGAGATCTGTGTAGAGATCTTTGTTTTTTAGAGATCTTTGTAGAGATCCTTGTAAAGAGCTTTGTGTTTTAGAGATCTTAGTAGAGATCTTTGTGTTTTAGAGATCTTGGTAGAGATCTTTGTGTTTTAGAGATCTTTGTAAAGATCCTTTTTTTTAGAGATCTTTGTAAAGATCTTTGTGTTTTAGAGATCTCTGAATCTCTTTCATTAAGACTTAGACTTTTAGACTTTAGACTTTATTGTCCCCAAGGGGAAATTCTTTTTCACAGCACCGTTACTGTCCAACAGACAAGTCCCACCAAAGAACCATTAAACTGAGGTATGATGTCATGATGTTTTTCTAATTCTCTCGCCCCTCCTTGTTTTTCAGATTCTCCATCAGGACCTGAGCCGGCACCTGCACTTCCTTCCCCATCTCCCACAATCTCGCCCTCACCTCCCACCTACTCCTCACTCTCCCCACTCCCTCCTATGTGCCCCTCTTTACCCTCCCCCCTGCCGATCCAGCAGGAGGAGGAGGAGGAGGAGGAGGTGAACTTAACGACTCCTCCCTCTGAGCAGCAGAAGCAGCAGCAGTCCACCTACCAACCTGCTCCAACTGCAGGCACTTCCCCACCCCCCTCCACCTCCCCTCCAGCCCCCCTGTCCTCACCACTCTCCAACCTCCCTTTGGCCCAGTCCATTCCTCCTCCATCTACCACCCCTTCCCCTTCCTCTTCAGACCAGGACCTGGAGCCTGAAGCCGGACAGCTGTCCCCCTCCTCCCCCTCCTCATCCTCACCCTCTTCATCATCCTCTCCCCCACCCTCACCTCCAACCCCGGAGGAGACCCCGGCATCCCAGCGCCTCACCTCCCTCCACCTGGCAAAGAAGCAGACTGATGCTGCCATCGCAGGGGAGAGCGAGGAGGAGGAGAGCGAGAGCGGCGGGGAGGGGATCTTCCGTGAACGTGATGAGTTTGTGGTTCGGACTGAGGACATCGGCACTCTGAAGGTGAGTACCTGGAAACAGGTGTGTGACGTGGATTAATACCTCACCTCCTCTTACACTATTGTGTGCTAACAGATGGCGCTGCAGACGGGCAGAGAGCCTCCGCCCATCTGGAGGGTCCAGAAAGCCTTACTCCAGAAGTTCAGCCCAGAGATCAAAGATGGTCAGAGGCAGTTCTGTGCAACCAGTAACGTAAGTCTGAAACCTGCCATCACCAATAACATAAGTCTGAAACCTGCCATCACCAATAACGTAAGTCTGAAACCTGCCATCACCAATAACATAAGTCTGAAACCTGCCATCACCAATAACATAAGTCTGAAACCTGCCATCACCAGTAATATAAGTCTGAAACCTGCCATCACCAGTAACATAAGTCTGAAACCTGACATCACCAATAACATAAGTCTGAAACCTGCCATCACCAGTAACATAAGTCTGAAACCTGCCATCACCAATAACATAAGTCTGAAACCTGCCATCACCAATAACATAAGTCTGAAACCTGCCATCACCAATAACATAAGTCTGAAACCTGCCATCACCAGTAATATAAGTCTGAAACCTGCCATCACCAGTAACATAAGTCTGAAACCTGCATCACCAATAACATAAGTCTGAAACCTGCCATCACCAGTAACATAAGTCTGAAACCTGCCATCACCAGTAACATAAGTCTGAAACCTGCCATGTCCACACAGTCTGAGGGTCTGATTCTAACCGCTGAGAACTCTTCATCATGTTCTCTATCTGCTCCGTCTCTGAGTCTGAGGGTAACTCATACTAGTAAAGTTGCCTCCCCCCCTCCCCCCGCTGGTCTGGACTCACACTGCTCCAGGACTAAGCGGGTCTGAGTGACCTCTTTTATATGAGGTTGTAACACAACACATGCATGACTCAGCTGCTTCACTGACTCTGTGTCTTTATGATGAGTCATGTGTCTGAACACTCCGGGGTTTCTCCTCAATGAAGCCGTTTGTAGCGTGCTGAAGAACTTCTTCTTCAAAGTGTACCGGGGCCAAAGAAGAGTACTGAGCCTGAACACAGATCGGAGCAGGAAGTGGACTTTAGACTATGATGATGTTCAGACACACTCTCTCCTGTCTCATCATTCTTCATCTTAAGATCAAAACTCTGGAGTTATATTTTAACTTGTATTCTGCATGTGTGTCTCCTCAGTATCTGGGTTATTTTGGAGATGCAAAGATGAGATACCAGCGTCTGTATGTGAAGTTTCTGGAGAACGTCAACAAGAAGGATTATGTGAGAGTGTGTTCGAGGAAGCCGTGGCACAGAGCGGGTCTGACCCTCAGGTAACTTCTTCTGATTCTCATCATCAAGAGAAACTGTCAAAGCTGAACCACATTAATTCAAACCTGGTCAACAAGTGAATCTAATGAACGCTTTGTTGTTTTTGACCTCCTGATTGACAGGCGACAGTCTCTGCCCAAACAGCTGCCCCACAATCAGACCCCCCCTCGAGGGGAGAGAGACGACAGAGACAAGGAGAGACAGAGGGAGCTGAAGGAGCAGAGAGAGAGGGAGTTGAAGGAGCAGAGAGAGAGGGAGCTGAAGGAGCAGAGAGAGAGGGAGCACCGGGAGAAGGTAGAGAAGGAGAACAAGGAGAGAGAGAGGAGAGAGAAAGAGGAGCAAAAAGAGAGAGAGGGGAAAGAAAAAGAGGAGAGAGAGAGGAGAGAGAAGGAGAAGGCTGAGAGGGAGGACAGAGAGCGAAGAGAGAGAGAGTGTAGAGAAAAGGAGATAGAACTGGAGAGGGAGAGGAGAGAGAAGGAGCAGAGGGAACGAAAAGAAAGGGAACGACAGGAGAGAGAACAGAAACAGAAAGAGAGAGAGCAGAAACAAAGAGAGAGGGACCGCAAAGAGAGAGAGCAGAGGGAGAGGGAGAAACAGGAAAGGGAGCAGAAAGAAAAAGAAAGAAGAGAGAGGGAGCAAACAGAGCGGGAGAGGAAGGAGAGAGAGCAGAGAGAGAGGGAGAGAAGGGAAAAGGAGAGAGAGAGAGAGCGCAGAGAGAAGGAGAAACAGGAGAGGGAGTGGAGAGAGAAGGAGCGAGAGCAGAGAGAGAGAGAGCTAAGGGAGCGGGAGAGAGAGAGGGAAAGGAGAGATGGCGTGATGGAGTATTCAAGGTTGAAGGAGGAGAAAAGAGGAGGAGAGGAGAAGAGGATGGAGCGTCAGTCTCGAGCTAAGACATCAAAAGAGAAGGCAGAGCCTCCTCCAAAGAAGAGGAAGAAGTGGTTGAAGGAGGTGCCGTCCTCCTCCTCGGAGTCTGACTCCTCCCCTCCGAGTGAGGACGAAGGTCAGCTTTTCAGCCTGTGTGTGTGTGTGTGTGTGTGTGTGTGTGTGTGTGTGTGTGTTCAGGTGTTGACACAGCTCCATGATGTGTTTCAGCTCCTGTTCGGGGGGGAGTTAACAGCCGAGTGATGCGTGAGATGTTCAGGAGCTACGTGGAGATGTTGGTCAGCACGGCGCTCGACCCAGACATGATTCAGGCTCTGCAGGACACTGACGGTGAGAGGGCAGGGACAAACTTCAATGTGTCCACTTGAACTGTAGCAGGAGATATAAAACATGACTTATTGCTTCCTCAGACGAGCTGTACCTCCCACCCATGAGGAAGATTGACAGCCTGCTCAGTGATCAGAAGAAGAGGCTGCTGAGGAGAGTCAGCATGAGCGCTCAGCACCAGGTACACATGTTCAATCCCCTCTCAGGCTACAGTCAGACTACAGTCCCCTCTCAGGCTACAGTCAGACTACAGTCACCTCTCAGACTACAGTCACCTCTCAGACTACAGTCAGACTACAGACACCTCTCAGACTACAGTCATCTCTCAGACTACAGTCAGACTACAGACACCTCTCAGACTACAGTCACCTCTCAGACTACAGTCAGACTACAGTAACCTCTCAGACTACAGTCAGACTACAGACACCTCTCAGACTACAGTCACCTCTCAGACTACAGTCAGACTACAGTAACCTCTCAGACTACAGTCAGACTGCAGACACCTCTCAGACTACAGTCAGACTACAGACACCTCTCAGACTACAGTCACCTCTCAGACTACAGTCAGACTACAGACACCTCTCAGACTACAGTCACCTCTCAGACTACAGTCAGACTACAGTAACCTCTCAGACTACAGTCAGACTACAGACACCTCTCAGACTACAGTCACCTCTCAGACTACAGTCAGACTACAGACACCTCTCAGACTACAGTCAGACTACAGTCACCTCTCAGACTACAGTCAGACTACAGACACCTCTCAGACTACAGTCACCTCTCAGACTACAGTCAGACTACAGACACCTCTCAGACTACAGTCACCTCTCAGACTACAGTCAGACTACAGTAACCTCTCAGACTACAGTCAGACTACAGACACCTCTCAGACTACAGTCAGACTACAGACACCTCTCAGACTACAGTCACCTCTCAGACTACAGTCAGACTACAGACACCTCTCAGACTACAGTCATCTCTCAGACTACAGTCAGACTACAGACACCTCTCAGACTACAGTCACCTCTCAGACTACAGTCAGACTACAGTAACCTCTCAGACTACAGTCAGACTACAGACACCTCTCAGACTACAGTCACCTCTCAGACTACAGTCAGACTACAGTAACCTCTCAGACTACAGTCAGACTACAGACACCTCTCAGACTACAGTCACCTCTCAGACTACAGTCAGACTACAGACACCTCTCAGACTACAGTCAGACTACAGTCACCTCTCAGACTACAGTCAGACTACAGACACCTCTCAGACTACAGTCACGTCTCAGACTACAGTCAGACTACAGACACCTCTCAGACTACAGTCACCTCTCAGACTACAGTCAGACTACAGTAACCTCTCAGACTACAGTCAGACTACAGACACCTCTCAGACTACAGTCACCTCTCAGACTACAGACACCTCTCAGACTACAGTCACCTCTCAGACTACAGTCAGACTACAGACACCTCTCAGACTACAGTCACCTCTCAGACTACAGTCAGACTACAGTAACCTCTCAGACTACAGTCAGACTGCAGACACCTCTCAGACTACAGTCAGACTACAGACACCTCTCAGACTACAGTCACCTCTCAGGCTACAGTCACCTCTCAGACTACAGTCAGACTACAGACACCTCTCAGACTACAGTCACCTCTCAGACTACAGTCAGACTACAGACACCTCTCAGACTACAGTTACCTCTCAGACTGCAGTCAGACTACAGTCACCTCTCATACTACAGTCAGACTACAGTCACCTCTCAGACGACAGTCACCTCTCGGACTACAGTCACCTCTCAGACTGCAATCACACTACAGTCACCCCTCAGACTACAGTCAGACTACAGTCACCTCTCATACTAAAGTAACCTCTCAGACTACAGTCACCTCTCAGACTACAGTCAGACTACAGTCACCTCTCAGACAACAGTCACCTCTTGGACTACAGTAACCTCTCAGACTACAGTCAGACTGCAGACACCTCTCAGACTACAGTCAGACTACAGACACCTCTCAGACTACAGACACCTCTCAGACTACAGTCACCTCTCAGGCTACAGTCACCTCTCAGACTACAGTCAGACTACAGACACCTCTCAGACTACAGTCACCTCTCAGGCTACAGTCACCTCTCAGACTACAGTCAGACTACAGACACCTCTCAGACTACAGTCACCTCTCAGACTACAGTCAGACTACAGACACCTCTCAGACTACAGTTACCTCTCAGACTACAGTCAGACTACAGTCACCTCTCATACTACAGTCAGACTACAGTCACCTCTCAGACGACAGTCACCTCTCGGACTACAGTCACCTCTCAGACTGCAATCACACTACAGTCACCCCTCAGACTACAGTCAGACTACAGTCACCTCTCATACTAAAGTCACCTCTCAGACTACAGTCACCTCTCAGACTACAGTCAGACTACAGTCACCTCTCAGACGACAGTCACCTCTTGGACTACAGTAACCTCTCAGACTACAGTCAGACTACAGACACCTCTCAGACTACAGTCACCTCTCAGACTACAGTCAGGCTACAGACACCTCTCAGACTACAGTCAGACTACAGACACCTCTCAGACTACAGTCAGGCTACAGACACCTCTCAGACTACAGTCAGACTACAGACACCTCTCAGACTACAGTCAGGCTACAGACACCTCTCAGACTACAGTCAGACTACAGTCACCTCTCAGACTAGTCACCTCTCATACTACAGTCATTTCTCAGACTACAGTCACCTCTCATACTACAGTCAGACTACAGTCCCCTCTCAGACTACAGTCAGACTACAGCCAGACTACAGCCAGACTACAGTCAGACTACAGTCACCTCTCAGACTACAGTCTGTCTGTTGATGACCATTTCCAGTAAATTCTGTGGTTTGGGGGTTTTTACAGACCCTGTTTGTTCCGTAGATCTCTGACTGGTTTCTCTGTCCTCTATTCAGGAGGTTCTCCATATTTTCCCTAAAATGACGGCAGACCCTCTGGAATCCGGAGCAGTTAAAGTCCACCTAGGGGGGGAGGGCTACAACCGAAAAACTCTGAACAGGGTCAAGCGGAGTATTCCTAAACAACAGGTGAGAAACAGAGAGGACCTGATGTGATGATCACAGAGACCTGCTGGACTAAGAGAAACTCAATGACTTCACCTGACTTACATATTCAAATGTTTCACACATGGGTTAACAATACACTTTCTGTCTGTAAATAATGTTTATGTTAGGGGGGCTCGGGGGCTGGCTCCCGTTCCTCTGCCCTCAGATCTGGGTGGGTTTTGGGGGATGACTCCATGGAGGCCCTCATTCGTAGGGACACTGATCGTAGCTGCTGGACCCTCCCTAGCCAGAGATTTGGCTCCAGAAACCTTCACAGTGCCTCCCTCAGACGAGGACCTGAGGGATTCAAAATCTCTCTCCCACGTTACGTGTGATGGCCGGGCCCTCGCAGTTATGCCATAGCAATGGAGCCAACCATTGAGGCCCTTATTTGGGATTTGCGGTGTCCCCGTCTTCAAGATAGGATAACAAATGACCTCCTGTCCAAGGCTTATGATGCAGCAGCTCACCTAGGGAACTCTGTGCCCCCCCTTTGATCTTTGAGAGGCCGGAGGGCCGAGACCTGAGGACGGGCTGTCGGCTGCCGGTTTCAGGTTCCTAAAGGTCATGCCCTTCTATATGCTTAGCACTACAGATGCACTACCATCTAGATGCGAGGTGGCACAAACACAGGACTCTCAGGCTCAAGACTGTCAACAGCGATGCCTCCCTCTAAGGTTGGGGCGCAGTCTGGTAAAAACCAAAAAGCTCAGGGGTAGTGGTCTGCTCAGGTCTGCAGGGACTACAGTGGTCTGATCAGGTCTGCAGGGACTACATCAATGTACTAAAGTGCTGTGCACTGGCTCTACAGTGTTTAATGCCTCAGAGGGAAGCATGTCCTTGAGCGGTTAAACAACATCCCTGCAGGCTCTCAGCTCAATCATCCAGGGGTCACCAGGTCCGCACGGTGCGCACGGAACTCTTAACTTGGGCAGCCCCCCCACCTGGCCAGTCTGAGTGCAATGAACCTACCTGGAGGAAGGAACAGGTGGTGGATTTCCTGTCATGGGGCAAGCCTCCTCGGTGGGAGTGGCGTCTACATCCGGAGATGGTACTCAGCATCTCGGATGTCGGGAGGGCAAAAGTGGACCTTTTTGCTTCAGATGCGACTCATTGCCCCCTCTGGTTCTCCCACACAGAGGTGAACAGCCCTTTGGGTCAGGATGCCCTGGCTTCTCCAGAAAGGCCTCAGGACGTGGCTTCCCCTGTTACCTTCAGCTGTGTGTTTGGTCATTGCATGGCCCAACCCATTGCTAAGAGATTGCTCAATCCCTGTTTGCGGTATATGTTAAACACCAGGGCGCCATCTACCTGCATGCAGTATGAGAACAGGTGGCATATGTTCTCAGCCTGGTGTTCAGAAAGGAATGTGGACCCTGAGCACTGCTCTGTGCAGTCCATCCTGGAGTTCTTGCAATCTCTTTGAGCTCCCTTTGAGCTGGCAGTGCCTCTGGTGGTCAGGAAGGATGAAATAGAAGGAAAGTTACGCATGTAACTATGGTTCTATGAATACTGGAAGAGAATAAGGCCCCGAGTACGGCAAGCAGCAAGTGTGGAAATATATCGGGGGGGGGATAAAAAGGTGCAATTCATGATTGTTACCGAGTGAAATGGGAGGATTATGAATAGGAGGAGCTCTGGGATAACCTTGGCCATCTCAGTGTTCCCTTTGATACTCCAGAGACTCTTTTTGTTCTACTAAATGTTTGAAAAAAGAGAAATAATTTCAGAACATTTTGCTTCTCCAGGATTTGAAGCTGTCCATAGAAACATGTCGGATCTACAGTCTGTATCACTCCCTCCATCACTACAAATATCACACCTTCCTGCACTGCAAGAAGGAGGTAAGATCATGAATACATGTTAGTATAACTTAAGGTCTGACTTCACTGTTCCATCTGTGCAGTCTCACCTTTCAGCTGTAGAAAAAACAGCTCATAGTCAGCTGATCAACTTTAAAACATGTTCATATAAACATATTCAAAGTGGTTAATGTAGCTTAATTATGGTATAATTCATATCAAAGCAGTGTGAATGTAACAGGCATGTTGTCTCTGCAGACGGACAGCATCGAGCAGGCGGCCGAGGACCCCGGTCAGGAGGAGGTGGTGCAGCAGTGCATGGCCAATCAGAGTTGGCTGGAGAGTCTGTTCACCTCCTTTATGGAGCTGCTGAGCCTCAGTTCAAAGGCCTGAACACCCCGACACCTGACCGGTACCCGACCTGAACCTCTGATCCAGGTGTACAGAGAGCGAGGGATCATTTAAAGATCAGACTCCAGCAGAGAGGATTCAAGTATTTCTTAATTACTGATTTAAAGAAGACACAGAGAGGCGGAGTCAAACTGTGTGAATGTGACACACACTCACGCACACACACACACACACACACACACACACACACACACACACACACACACACACACACACACACACACACCTACACACACACACACACACACACACGCACACACATGCACGCACACACACACACACACACACACACACACACACACACACACACACACAGGATGTCTATAACGATGTAATAAACTCTGGTTTGTATAATTTATACGTTTGTAAAGACGAGCGGATGTTTTCTGAAGATTTGAAAGCAGAGTTCATTCAATGACTGCCTGCCGATGTTTCTTCTCACGGACAGACGGAGGTTAAAGTCAGACTGAAGGAGGTTAAAGTCAGACTGAAGGAGGTTAAAGTCAGACTGAAGGAGGTTAAAGTCAGACTGAAGGAGGTTAAAGTCAGACTGAAGGAGGTTAAAGTGAAGGAGGTTAAAGTCAGACTGAAGGAGGTTAAAGTGAAGGAGGTTAAAGTCAGACTGAAGGAGGTTAAAGTGAAGGAGGTTAAAGTCAGACTGAAGGAGGTTAAAGTGAAGGAGGTTAAAGTCAGACTGAAGGAGGTTAAAGTCAGACTGAAGGAAGTTAAAGTCAGACTGAAGGAGGTTAAAGTCAGACTGAAGGCGGTTAAAGTGAAGGAGGTTAAAGTCAGACTGAAGGAGGTTAAAGTGAAGGAGGTTAAAGTCAGACTGAAGGAGGTTAAAGTGAAGGAGGTTAAAGTCAGACTGAAGGAGGTTAAAGTGAAGGAGGTTAAAGTCAGACGGAAGGAGGTTAAAGTCAGACTGAAGGAGGTTAAAGTCAGACTGAAGGAGGTTAAAGTCAGACTATGTGATAGTTTGTGCCTCAGCGTGCAGGCGAGACGGAGGTGAGATGTATTTAAACTGTGTTCTTTCTGTTTGTTCTTCTGAAGAAGATGAGACGCAGAGAGACGATTTAAAAAAGAATCCAGTCCACTCTCTGAGAGATTCATGTCAGTGTTAACGTCCTTTTTACCTGTTAGCTGTTTCTCGTGTTCTCTTTGTAAATACTGTACAGCGATTTCATTCTGCTCCCCGTCGCTCTTCTGTACATGAAATTCTGTATTTGACATAATGAAATAAAACTGTTAAAAGGACTAATGTGATAAAGAAATCTGCTCTGATTGTGATTATTTCCTCTGTTACGATGGATGCTGCTGTCCGTTATTTTGACCTCTGACCTGCCGCTTTGCATTGTGAGAAACAGTACGTTACGGAGTCTGGTCAGATGCAGACTGAAGATTTTTACAGAATCAGGACAATATCCGGGTTCAGATCTCACATGTCTGGACCAATCAGAACAAACTAGTAGCGAACAGCCAGCATCTCTCCCGCCTCTCCTGTGCAGGAAACAAACAAAAAAAAACAGGAAGTGATCTACTTTATTTTACACGTTCTCCTGCATTAACCTGACTCTGTTTATGGAGTAAAGTCAGACTCTGATTGGCTGAAGGAGCCTCAGAAAACAGAGTCTGATATCCTCATCACATCGTCGAGTATGGAGCAGAAAGTCCCTGAGTGGGACGAGGTCAGCACAAACACAAAGACAGGACGGGAAGTGTGTGTGTGTGTGTGTGTGTGTGTGTGTGTGTGTGTGTGTGTGTGTGTGTGTGTGTGTGTGTGTGTGTGTGTACGTCACACAGAGGAAACAGAGCAGTGGAACAAAAGAGGAGACATCTGGAAACCATTGAGGAGAGAGAGAGAGAGAGAGAGAGAGAGAGGGTGGGATTGATCACAGAGTGCAGGCTCAAAACCTCCGCTTGGAAAATTACATGAAACATAAAGTTTAAAGTTTGGACTCAGAGAAGAAGAAGAAAACAGAAGAAGAAAACAGAAGAAAAAAAAGAAGAAAAACAAAACGGGAGGGAAGATCTGAGCGAATGCAGGAAACTTTCTGAAGGAGGGCTAAGGTCTGAAAAATCTGAGTGAAGATTTAAAAGAGAGAAGGAAGCCAGAAACACAGACTGAGACGAGACGCCAAGACGTAAGGTAAACTTTAAACTACAAAGATTAATAATACTGTAGAGATCATAAACTACAGCTTTAGCTACAAATATTTATAATACTACAGCTCTATCTACAAAGATTTATAATACTGTAGAGATCATGAACTACAGCTCTATCTACAAAGATTTATAATACTGTAGAGATCATAAACTACAGCTCTATCTACAAAGATGTATAATACTGTAGGGATTATAAACTACAGCTCTATCTACAAAGATCTATAATACTGTAGAGATCATGAACTACAGCTCTATATACAAAGCTCTATAATACGTAGAGCTCATAAACTACAGCTTTAACTACAAAGATTAATAACACTGTAGAGATCATAAACTACAGCTTTAACTACAAAGATTTATAAAACTGTAGAGATCATAAACTACAGCTCTATCTACAAAGATCTATAACACTGTAGAGATCATAAACTAGAGCTCTATCTACAAAGATTTACAATACTGTAGGGATCATGAACTACAGCTCTATATACAAAGATTTATAATACGTAGAGATCATAAACTACAGCTTTAACTACAAAGATTAATAACACTGTAGAGCTCATAAACTACAGCTTTAACTACAAAGATTTATAACACTGTAGAGATCATAAACTACAGCTCTATCTACAAAGACGTATAATACTGTAGAGATCATAAACTACAGCTCTATCTACAAAGACGTATAATACTGTAGAGATCATAAACTACAGCTTTAACTACAAAGATTTACAATACTGTAGAGATCATAAACTACAGCTCTATCTACAAAGACGTATAATACTGTAGAGATCATAAACTACAGCTTTAACTACAAAGATTTACAATACTGTAGAGATCATAAACTACAGCTCTATCTACAAAGATCTATAATACTGTAGAGATCATAAACTACAGCTTTAACTACGAAGATTTACAATACTGTAGAGATCATAAACTACAGCTTTAACTACAAAGACGTATAATACTGTAGAGATCATAAACTACAGCTTTAACTACGAAGATTTACAATACTGTAGAGATCATAAACTACAGCTTTAACTACAAAGATCTACAATACTGTAGAGATCATAAACTACAACTTTAACGACAAAGATCTATAATACTGTAGAGATCATAAACTACAGCTCTATCTACAAAGACGTATGATACTGTAGAGATCATAAACTACAGCTTTAACTACAAAGATTTATAATACTGTAGAGATCATAAACTACAACTTTCATGACAAAGATCTATAATACTGTAGAGATCATAAACTACAGCTCTATCTACAAAGATTTATAATGCTGTAGAGATCATAAACTATAGCTCTATCTACAAAGATTAATAACACTGTAGTGATCATAAACTACAGCTTTAACTACAAAGATTTATAATACTGTAGAGATCATAAACTACAACTTTCATGACAAAGATCTATAATACTGTAGAGATCATAAACTACAGCTCTATCTACAAAGATTAATAACACTGTAGAGATCATAAACTACAGCTTTATCTACAAAGCTCTATAATACTGTAGAGATCATAAACTACAACTTTAACGACAAAGATTTATTATACTGTAGAGATCATGAACTACAGCTCTATCTACAAAGATTTATAATACTGTAGGGATCATAAACTACAGCTCTATCTACAAAGATTAATAACACTGTAGAGATCATAAACTACAGCTTTAACTACAAAGATTTATAATACTGTAGAGATCATAAACTACAACTTTAATGACAAAGATTTATAATACTGTAGAGATCATGAACTACAGCTCTATCTACAAAGATCTATAATACTGTAGAGATCATAAACTACAGCTTTAACTACAAAGATTAATAACACTGTAGAGATCATAAACTAGAGCTTTAACGACAAAGATTTATAATACTGTAGAGATCATAAACTACAACTTTCATGACAAAGATCTATAATACTGTAGAGATCATAAACTACAGCTCTATCTACAAAGATTAATAACACTGTAGAGATCATAAACTACAGCTTTAACTACAAAGATTAATAACACTGTAGAGATCATAAACTAGAGCTTTAACAACAAAGATTTATAATACTGTAGAGATCATAAACTACAGCTCTATCTACAAAGATGTATAATACTGTAGGGATTATAAACTACAGCTCTATCTACAAAGATCTATAATACTGTAGAGATCATGAACTACAGCTCTATATACAAAGCTCTATAATACGTAGAGCTCATAAACTACAGCTTTAACTACAAAGATTAATAACACTGTAGAGATCATAAACTACAGCTTTAACTACAAAGATTTATAAAACTGTAGAGATCATAAACTACAGCTCTATCTACAAAGATCTATGACACTGTAGAGATCATGAGCTACAGCTCTATCTACAAAGCTTTATAATACTGTAGAGATCATAAACTACAGCTCTATCTACAAAGATTTATAATACTGTAGGGATCATAAACTAGAGCTCTATCTACAAAGATTTACAATACTGTAGGGATCATGAACTACAGCTCTATATACAAAGATTTATAATACGTAGAGATCATAAACTACAGCTTTAACTACAAAGATTAATAACACTGTAGAGCTCATAAACTACAGCTTTAACTACAAAGATTAATAACACTGTAGAGATCATAAACTACAGCTCTATCTACAAAGATCTATAACACTGTAGAGATCATAAACTACAGCTTTAACTACAAAGATCTATAACACTGTAGAGATCATAAACTACAGCTCTATCTACAAAGATTTATAATACTGTAGAGATCATAAACTACAGCTTTATCTACAAAGCTTTATAATACTGTAGAGATCATAAACTACAGCTTTAACTACAAAGATTTATAATACTGTAGAGATCATAAACCACAGCTCTATCTACAAAGATGTATAATACTGTAGAGATCATAAACTACAGCTTTATCTACAAAGATCTATAATACTGTAGAGATCATAAACTACAGCTTTATCTACAATGATCTATAATACTGTAGAGATCATAAACTACAGCTTTAACTACAAAGATCTGCAATACTGTAGAGATCATAAACTACAGCTCTATCTACAAAGATCTACAATACTGTAGAGATCATAAACTACAGCTTTAACTACAAATATTAATGATACTGTAGAGATCATAAACCACAGCTCTATCTACAAAGATTTATAATACTGTAGAGATCATAAACTACAGCTTTATCTACAAAGATTTATAATACTGTAGAGATCATAAACTACAGCTTTAACTACAAAGATTTATAATACTGTAGAGATCATAAACCACAGCTCTATCTACAAAGATTTATAATACTGTAGAGATCATAAACTACAGCTCTATCTACAAAGATTTATAATACTGTAGAGATCATAAACTACAGCTTTAACTACAAAGATTTATAATACTGTAGAGATCATAAACCACAGCTCTATCTACAAAGATGTATAATACTGTAGAGATCATAAACTACAGCTTTATCTACAAAGATCTATAATACTGTAGAGATCATAAACTACAGCTTTATCTACAATGATCTATAATACTGTAGAGATCATAAACTACAGCTTTAACTACAAAGATCTGCAATACTGTAGAGATCATAAACTACAGCTCTATCTACAAAGATCTACAATACTGTAGAGATCATAAACTACAGCTTTATCTACAATGATCTATAATACTGTAGAGATCATAAACTACAGCTTTAACTACAAAGATCTGCAATACTGTAGAGATCATAAACCACAGCTCTATCTACAAAGATTTATAATACTGTAGAGATCATAAACTACAGCTTTATCTATGAAGAGCTATAATACTGTAGAGATCATAAACTACAGCTCTATCTACAAAGATTTATAATACTGTAGAGATCATAAACTACAGCTTTAACTACAAAGATGTGTGACATCAGAACACTGTGACATCAGAACATTGTGACATCAGAACATTGTGACATCAGAACACTGTGACATCAGAACATTGTGACATCAGATTTACTGAAACATTTCAAACTCTCTCGTGTTTTGGTGCGTTCCAGTTGTTCTCATAAATGGGAAATTCTGAGTTCCCAGTTGGAAGTGTCAACTGGAACGCTCCCTGAAGTTGTAATTACGACTCGGAAACTCAGAGTGAAAAAAGTAGCCTGAGTTCAGATCCAACATGGCCGCTATATTTGCATCTAAAGGGATGTTTAATCAGTAAGTGTTGAGTTTATTAGCAGCTCAGTCGTGTGTTTGTTAAATCAATCAGACCGATGGTCTCTGTGGAGGTGTTTTCAGTGTGTTGTTATCGTCTGGTGTTAGCTGACAAAACAAAGGTACTCCTGGAGGCGGCAGTTATCTCGGGTGTGACGTCATTCCCAGCTCCGAGTTCCAAGGGAAATGGAACATGGAAAATAAGTCACACAAAGCGCTCCTGCTATGAATCCTGGGAAATTCTTCAGCAGTATATTTAGGTCCTCTGAGGAGGGAGGGACTTCCTTCCACTCAGCAAGTTGACTTCCTGTGTGAAGTCAGCAGTAAGCATGAGGAGAGGACACACACATGTTTGTATATATTTCACATAGCTCCTGATGAATTACAGTTATCTTAATCCACAGGATGTCGGTGTCTCAGCGGTGTCTGTGCTGCGTCAAATATCTCATGTTTGTCTTCAACCTCATCTTCTGGGTCAGTATTCAAACAGATCTGTTGACTCTAACTGAAAATAAAAACTGTCTCTTATTTGTTTAGATTTTTAAAATGATTCTTAATGATGAAAGTGCAAGGGGCGGGGCCAGAGGCAGGGGGCGGGGCCAGAGACACTGCGATGGGGGGGATCAGTGTTAGTTTGGTCTGCATGTTTCACTTTCAGATCAGAAAGTCTCAGTCTGACAAAACACCTCATGATTCCTGTGTGTGTGTGTGTGTGTGTGTGTGTGTGTGTGTGTGTGTGTGTGTGTGTGTGTGTTTCCTTATCAGCTGGGGGGATGTGGTCTGTTTGGTATCGGCGTGTGGCTCTCCTTCACTCAGGCAGAGTTTTCCTCTCTTCCACTCTCCTTCCCGTCTCTCTCGGCTGCCAACCTGCTGCTGCTCGCCGGGGGCATCACCATGGTAACGGGTTTCCTGGGCTGTCTGGGAGCTCTGAAGGAACAGCGCTGCCTGCTGGTGATGGTGAGAGGAGGCCTGAACATGATTTATTGAAGCTGAGGATATTTGTGATGTGATGTGACTGTTCTCTTCTCCTCTTCAGTTCTTTGTCATCCTGCTGCTGCTCGTCCTCACCGAGGTCATTCTGCTGCTCGTCATACACGTGTTCCACGACCAGGTGAGCCCGCAGGAACCTGTCAGCTGATTGGAGGTATGGTAGGCGTGGTCCCGTTCTTAGATCAGGCTGTAGAGTGTCAGACCAAAGACATAAAGAAAGGATCAAGTGTACAGATGATATGAAGGAGATGTAATGATCACTGTTAAAAACACCTGTCAGACGAGCTTCTCTGTGTGTGTGTGTGTGTGTGTGTGTGTGTGTGTGTCTCGGTGTCAGCTGGACTCTAAAGCCCAAAACGAGCTGAAGGAAGGGATGAAGATTTATGACACAGAACCAGGACTGAAGAAGTCCTGGGACAACGTCCAGAAGATGGTGAGGTCAGAGGTCATCCTCATGATGTTCATACAGTCAGCTGTTTTGTAAAGTCTGATGGTGTGTGTTCTCTCTCTCTCTCTGTCCCAGTTTAAATGCTGTGGAGTGACCAACAAGACAGACTGGTTTGACGTCCTGAATGGGACGCTGCCGTGGTCCTGCTGCTCGGTGGGGACGGATCAGTGTGTGGACGGATGGAGCGAGGTGTGTTAATGATCTCACATCACAAATGATATCTGAGTCTGCAGCGAGGGTCTAACTGTCTGTCTGTCTGTCTGTGTGTCTGTCTGTCTGTCTGCAGCCGTGTTACCAGAAGGCGAGGCAGTGGTTGTTGGATAACATCCCATCAGTTCTGGTGTTTGGAGTCTGTATCGGCGTTGTTCAGGTAATAAACTCAATTAATGTACCTGGTCTTTGCTGTACATGGTCTTTAATGTACCTGTTCTTTAATGTAGCTGGTCTTTAATGTACCTGTACCTGGTCTTTAATGTACCTGTTCTTTAATGTACCTGGTCTTTAATGTACCTGGTCTTTTTTTCCTGTTCATCTGGAGGAACATTAAAGTCCTCGCTGACTCTGCATGTCTCTTTATGTTGGCCTCGGGTGGTCTGGTACCAGGGTTCACTGATCTTTGGCCTCGGGTGGTCTGGTACCAGGGTACACTGATCTTTGGCCTCGGGTGGTCTGGTACCAGGGTACACGATTCTGGAGCATGGTGTTTGTTATGGCCAATCAATGACGAGCAATGCATCAAACAAAAACACACATTCAAAACATTTTCAAAGATGAACTTCATCAACTCTAGATCCAACATGGTGACAAGTTCTTCTTCATGGAGAGTTCCATTTGTCTAACATGTCTCCCCCCCTCCCTCCTCCTCTCTCTATATCTCTTCTCTCCCTCTCTCCCTCCCTCTCTCTCTCCCTCTCCCTCCCTCTCCCTCGCTCTCCTCCTCTCTGTAGATCCTGGCTCTGGTCTTCTCCATGTTGATGTACTGTCAGATTCTGTGTGCAGAGAAACATCTGGACTGAGTGCAGACAGCTGATCTCCTGTGATGATGATGATGATGATGATCATCATCATCATCGCTTGTCCACACCTGGTTCACACCTGAATCAGAGTTCACATTGAACAGATGATCAGGCTGAAGAATCAGAGCTGGATGATGAACTCTGTAAAATAGAAATTATGAATTATCTCTAATCACTAATTCAACTCTATGATGATCTTATAGCAGACTGTAGTTTAAGAGTTCAACTGTTAAGTTAATGTTTAAAGGTAACCTGAGAGAGTCTCACTGCTGAGGCTCAAACACAGACTGATGGAGACCTCACCTGACCCTGAACAGGTACACACACAACCAGCCTGTCAATCAATCAATCAATCAATCAATCAATCAATCAATCAATCAACCAATCAATCGACCACTCTCTGACCCTGTGTGTGTGTGTGATCCTGAGTGGGGCCAGTAGGGGGAGTCACAGAGGCTGTTGTTACCAGATGTTTGAGGTGTTTTTATTATTCTGTGACTTCATCACATCTCTCTAATAAATAACATGATGTAAATACATTCAGCATGTACACATATCAACTTCTGTTTCCATGTGCTGTAAATAAAATACGTTTACATTTCTGCTGCTTCACTATAAATATGAAACATTTCTTTTTTACATCTTCATACCACATTAAAACATTTCTCTATAAATAAATTAAATCGTCTTCCTTCATAAACGATATAAACAACAAAAACAATTTAAACAGTTTGTGTCAGCTGATGGAGATGTTCGTCTGAACCTTTAAAGAAACATCAATCATATGTAAAAAAGAAATCAGTGCAGAGATCATCTTCTTTCTCCTCAGCAGCTCCTCCTAGTGGCTGATCCCGGTAACTGCAGCAGTTTTAAAACCTCTGAGCATGATGAACTCTGAGCGAAGCGTCCAGTGAGCGTAATGTTTAGGAGACTCCATGTTTGAGACGCTCAGAGAAAAGATCTCTCTCTTTGAGAAATGATCCAGAGATCAGACTGATGTTCAGTCAAACTCTGCAGGATCCTCCATCTGTTCAACGATGTTCTCCTGAAGACGGAAGAAAAGCTGGGTGAGTGAACAGAACAGAAAACAAGTCTTATATTAAACCTTAAAGGTCCAATCAGTGAAATGATAAAGGGATCTTACTATCTGATCAGACATTAAGGAAACATGCTATGTTGAAGTGCTGGCTTCTCTGACAACAATGCAGCAGCCAGTATGTCCTCCTTCTAACTTTAGATTCTGTTCCTGAATGCTCTGGATTTGTTTGGACCAGAGAAGGTAGGCGGTTTTAAGACACCCCCCCCCCACACGGTCGTTTTGGACGGCCGTCGGTTTGCCAGATATGAGAGCAGTTATCAGGTCAACAGGTGTTGTAGTGATGGAAGCAGGCAAGAGAAGTGGTTCAGATAGAAGTGATTGTACCCGACCTAAAAAGCCTCTGCATGTTTCTAATAAGCTCCACGAGCAGAAACGTGCTCAAACTAGGATCAATATTGGAGATGATTTTGAAAAATGGAGAGAGGTTAGAACGCAGAAAGGTTTACAGACTCATGCAGAGCTGGATAAACACTGAAGCTTCAGAGTCCACCACATGGTGACCTGAGTGAGCATCGACTCTCGAGAGGAGGGGGGAGAGACAGCTCTCTACAATGTTTAGAATTTAGACTGCAGTACCCATTTTAAACACTAGGGGCAGAGTTACATACTGCTCCTATTATCAAATCAGTTTGAACATCTGCTCACAGCTGAGTGAGGTTTAGACTAAATGTTTTTACTCTTCTCATTCAAGTTGTAAAGTTATCAAAATGAATGAATACTTTGTTACAGTCTGATATTTCCATGATCATTAGTAACAATCAATCAAAATTTATTTATAAAGCACCTTTCAGACAAATGACCAAAAAGTCCCAAACTTGAAAAGATCTTCTTATTTGAACTCGTGCACACTGAATGTTTCTGTGTTACTAAAACATTTGTGTAATGTAGGCCTCCGTACATGTGTGGTGGTGACTGTGTCTGCAGAGACTCTGTCCTCTGACTGGATTTTACTGTTCTGATTTGTTCTGGTTGACGCGGGACGTTTGTGGGCGGAGCTGGTGTGTTTCCTCCAGCCAATGACAGCGCAGCAGGTGAGTTTAGGAGTGGATTCAAAGCGGTGAATATGACGGACGTGGACGTAGCAGCAAAGAAGAGAAAATATAATCAGAGTGAGGAGAAACACCAAGTAGATAAAGCTCGTTCTAAAACAAGGCTGAACCTTCTGTTGTCTTTTACCCGTGGACGTGGAGTTAGTCTACTTCCTGTTGGACAGGAAGGTGACAAACACCGGCGGTTAGCTGGTGGGGCCAGTCTTTAATAAAAGTTGAAAGTCTCTCACCCAGCCTCCCTGACTCTTCACCCAGGGGGCAAACGTCTCCATGTAGCACTCAGCGTAGCCCTGCATGCGCTGAGCTCCCGTTGCCGTGACGATCCTCCTTGAAACCTCCATGGTCACTGCCATCCGTTTAAGCGTGGGGCTTGCAGAGGGACTTGCAGTGGGGGGCGGGGGCGGGGCCTCAGACACCTGAGTGCTGCTGAGGGTGTCGAGCAGTTTGGCGAAGGACGGATAAGAGAGACGAGTCAGGGTGGAGCGCAGGAAGGGGTCGGACTCGATCTGAAGGAGCAGCAGGGTTAAGACAGGTAAAGACAAATAACAGGTAATGCACCTGATGTGTTTAAGCTCCGCCCACCTTAGTGTTGATAGAGTCTCCCTCCAAAGACAGAACCTGGACCAGCCTCTGGACCACGATCTCTTTCTCACTCACTTACAGACAGGCAGACAGACAGGCAGACAGACAGAGAGACAGACAGACAGACAGTTTTGTGCAATTTAGAAAGTGTTCTCTCTCTTTTGACACTACAGTTTAAGATCTTTACAATTTTTTCTTCAGTGTGTGTGTGTGTGTGTGTGTGTGTGTGTGTGTGTGTGTGTGTGTGTGTACCAGGTGAAGTCTGGGGGGCTGGACTTTGTTTTTTTATACTGGTGGACTTCTGGGCGATCTGTTCCAGTTTTTCTGCCACTTCTTCGTAAAACTCAGGAGGATGATCTGTGACAGGACGGAGGATTAAAGTTAATCAGGAGAGAACAGGTAAGAACATGTGAGGACAGGAGAGGACAGGTTAGAACATGTGAGGACAGGTCAGGACAGGAGAGGACAGGAGAGAACAGGTGAGGACAGGTTAGAACAGGTGAGGACAGGTTAGAACAGGTGTGAACAGGTGAGATGGTGTGCAGATAAAAGCAGACATCAGGATTAAGTTTGACCTGCTGTGTGTTTTATAAAAGTTTTCTTACTGGGGGAGATGAGGGAAGGTGCAGGTTCTGGTCCTCTGATGGACAGACTGCTGGGCCTCTGAGGATGGACTTTGCCTCCGTCTTTGTTTATGTCTCTGTCTCCGTCTCTGTCTTCATCTTTGTCTCTTTCTCGGTCTTTGTTTCTCAATCTGAAGATCTTGGACAGCCTCTCTCTGATCCTCTTCGGGTTCAGCTTCTTCTTCGGCCTCTTCTCCCCGTCGTCTCCATCTGATGAAGAGGAGGGGGACACCTGAGGACAGAGAGAGGTTCATCACACACAGGTGTCACCTCCTTTAATCTCCTCGTCGTGCATCGGAGGGGAGGGACAGAACATCAGGGTCGCTGTTGAACAAACACTTCAACATGTCTTTAATAACAATCCTCCCCACCTTTAATTGGTCCCTGCTATGTCCTGGTTTGGTCCTGTTCTCTCTGTCCAGAGATCCTTTAGAGTCTTTAGCAGATCTACGGGATGTATTTCTACGAGGAACCTGCTTGATCAAATCTTTAAATCCAGGTTTCTTCTCGTCTGAGCTGACGTCCTCGGCCTGTGAGTCACAGCTGTCCTTCGAGTGAGGCTGAGCTTTGAACCTGACATAAAGGAAGTTAAAGTAAGGAGAACTACAGGACAGATACAGTGTGGTAGACTACAGGACAGGTAACAGTGTGGTGAACTACAGGACAGGTAGCAGTGGTGAACTACAAGACAGGTAACAGTGTGGTGAACTACAGGACAGGTAACTTAGTCTATTCTGTTGTTTTCTGCCCAACTGTCAGATTGATTCTGTTTGTTTGTTTGTTTGTTGTTGTTGTTGGTCAAATTGTATACTGTTATGTGGATGTTGCTTGCCTGTATTTAATCAAATAAAAGATGAAATGATGATGAATACTTATTCTCATCAGGTTGATATCTCAGATTGTTGAGGTGTGTTACCTGTACTTGTTGTGGTCTACGTAGGCTCCTCCCACTCTGCCTGGCCGCTCCACCAGTGGGAGGGCGAGGGTCCGATGGAGGAAGGCTTTGAGGACCAGCTGAGTGTCAGCTTTAATCTCCATCAGAGAGATGGAGGAGACGGAGGAGACAGAGGGGAGGCGCTCTGTACACGACATCTGACACAAAGAGAAACTTTCTGTTTTCATTCTTAGAAATGTTTCATGAAACAGGTAAATGAAGCTAACGCTGTTTGTTCACGTGTTCCCTGTGAAGAGTAATGAAGGTATCATAGATCAGACATGTGTTAGATAACTTCATCAGACAGGTTTGACCGAGACGAAGGAATCCAGACAAACCACTCTTTCACGTTCCTGAAATGTTTTTGTAAAGTTTAAACTTTGTGCACGAGATTGTGAACAATTAAAAACAGTAAATGACCCAACATGTGGCGTGGAGGACTTCTGTTGTCACGATTTAGAATCTATTCGAAGTTTTTTTCTGGTCTTATGACAATCCAACTCTGACGACATCAAATGTGAAGTTTACTGAGTCCAGTAGATGTCAGTAAATGCAACACTGAGTGTTTCAGCTACAGGAAAAGGTGAGAGAAGAAGAAAGAGGAGGAGTTTCACCGACCGGACAGGACGGGAAGCATTCCTCTGAAAGTTACCGGGAAATAATCTGATCATAAACAGAATGAAAAAAAAGACGACCGGAAACAAGTTGTGTTTGTTTTTTACAAACTGTGACTAAGTCTAATAAATGATTAAAGAGAGAGAAAC